TGCAACATTATTATTCACCTGGAGTCGTGTTACTGGCCATCTGGCGAATGCAAGTCCAATATCCATATCTTGGTTTTTGGTCTCTACCAATTCCTGAAGGAAATATCTGTCTCTTTACCTGGTAGATGCTCCACTGTGTTCACCCGCCAGTCACTAACTGTATGTCTGCTGATTGGTGTTGAGCAGGCAGTGTACAGTGGCTTTGAAAACAACTACCTGCTGTGGCCAAAAACAATGCTGTGAGAGCAGTGAGAGGGAACCAAAACAGTAAAGTGGCAGGCCGGGCAGCTAAACAATACGCTTGGACCCAAATATTCAAATATTTAGATACTGGATAGTATTATCTTGTTTCTCAATTATTAGGTAATTACCCAATATTGTTTTTTTCTTCTAGCGAGGTGTTAGTTATTTTTTTATTTTACTGTTTTAATTTTCCAACTTATTTAATGTTTATTAACAAACAGCATTAATCTGCTCACCTTGCTTGAAAAGTTCTCTTTTCCACACGCATATACACACCTATACTTCTATCTTTTACTGCACACACACCATCATGCCCCACCTGCCTCTTTGTGTTTCCCTTTCCCTGTCTGCTCTGTTGGCTTTCTTTGTCAGCAGTTTGTTGTATAAAGTCGCCGAAAGAAATTGGATTTGTTCTTCCGCGGTTCCATTTTCACAACAGTAGGTGGGCCGCGTGTGGAGGAGGCTTGTTGTTAATGGCGTAGCCTATCAAAACGATCAAAACCAAGGTGGTACTGAATGACATCGGCACCAAGGCATGCGTATTCACTGTTGCTTTACCTGGTCCAAACTTGTTAAATGTCCACCGTGTCTGTGTCTTCAAAAGTAATACCAGAGAACGTCTCTCTCTCTCTTGCTCTGTGTTTTCTTCGCAGATCATGTGCGACTATCAGTAGACCATTGGCTACAGGCGGGGTAAAGCCAGGGGAGATTGTCCACTAGTTAATCGACTGCGGATGGAGTTGTTCTCTCAGACGGATCTACTGATTTGAGTGCTGTACCATTGTGTCCATGTGTGTCATATCAAAATGTCACCTAACAAGACTCCTGTTTGTGACTGAAACACACTTACCAAAGTCTGCGATCTTGGCATTCATGTGTGCATCAAGTAGCACATTTTCAGGCTTGAGGTCTCGGTGCACCACCATGTGTCTGTGGCAATAGTCTACTGCTGAAATAATCTGTTGAAACAGCCGACGACTCTCCTTTTCATCCAACTGTCAAAACAGAAATTATCCATTCGTTGAAATCTTCTCTCTGACTCAGTTAGCACATCACAGCTGACTAAGTGCCAACACCAAGCACATAATGCACTAATGTGTTATGGTCCCCTCACTGATAATAAAATATGCAACATCTGCTACATATCACAAGATGGAAGGAGTGAAAGAGATTGTTGGACATCATTATACCAGACTATAAGACATTTTCCAGTATTAAAGTGCATTACCTTTCCATTTTTGCAGATGTAGTCAAAGAGCTCGCCTCCTGAGACATACTCCATCACCATGAATATATCTGTAGGGGTGCTAATAACCTGATACCTGTGGACATTAAGACAGAGATGGAGTTGAAATAATATGGATTTTCAACAGTGTGCAGATATAACACTGATCAATATAGACCGTTATTATCAGTCTTTTATCATTTCTATAAAACATAGGAAAATGGGAAGAAAAAATGTATTTTTGCGACTAAATCTCCTAGATCTGATATCAATCTGTGGAATATTGTAGAAACATCAAAAGTGGCTGGAGGAAATAGTTTTGTATCTAGGGCCGTGTGTGGCTGCATTTTCAGTAAAATGGCAGGGCAACAATATGAAAGAAATATAAATAAAATACAAAAACAGTAGCAAAGTAATGACAGTATGAAGCTATTGTAGTTAAACAGTATGTCTGTCTTATCTTCAATCCATCTATCAAACCCCCCTTGTCTATCTAAAATGAAATGCAATAATGACTGTAGTAAAGTCTACAGGAACAAGTAGTTTCAGCAGATGTGACAGATGTTGACTAACTGCTGATCTTACGTGTCACAATTGCTACAAACATCCTGTAAGCCAAGTGAAGCAGTACTGTGTTGCTCCATTTGTCTTCACTAGACATTAGTCAGACTAGACAAGCAATGCTATGCACTCTGCCCCAGTGTTTGTTCACCCTGTCAAAGATGAGATCTTGTTCTCTCTCTCACAATAATGCGTGCGCACACACTCAAAACAGAGTTTACATTCTTGTGCATGCATGACATGGAGCTGGTATTTCAGGCAATTAGCCACACCTCCTGGTCAGTTTAATGAGCCCTTTAATGTGGCACTGCTGCAGCCAGTGGACACTGAAATACCCATCGGGAAGTAACTCCGCAATTTTCTAACTATATTGTTAGATCAGGGACTCAGCAACAGGATACCACCACAGCATTTCTGTGTTTACTTAAGGCTGGTGGTGGTTACCATCACTGCTTGACGCACCTGTACATCAAAGCAACAAGAGTGTCCTGAGCTGGCCTCTGATTAGTATCACAGTCGTGTAGCTTTCTGCATCAACGGTGTCTTAAACTATTTTAAAAGTACAGATATTATGTTTGCTTGGACAAAAAACACAAAACTGGATTGTAAGTGACAATTCTTTCCACTGTATTACAACTGCACTATACTGACCCATGAATTCTGTGAATGCACTCTTAGTGAAAATTCAAACAGAAGAGATCATACAGCAAGGCATCACAACAGGCAGTAATAAAGCACTTTTTCATATTAAAATGAAAGGTGAGCAGAGGGGAGAATCAAAACAGGCAATAAAGCTGGGGAGCGACGGGAGAGGAGACTGGGTCAGACAGATATTGTCCTAGATGGATGTATTCTAAAACACCATTAAAGCCTGGAAATAGCTCAGTGGGTGGCATTAATGTGGCGGCGGGGGGATTACGGAGCAGCGAGCAGGGTGTAATCTAGGACTTACAGTTTAATTATGTGAGGATGCCTGAAAAGCTTGAGGTTCTGGATCTCCCTGCGGATCTTTCCCACCACATCCAAACTGCGGATCTTCTGCCTGTTCAAGATCTTCACCGCCACCTGGTGCTTGGTCAGCTCATGTTGGCCCACTGCGGGATAAAACAAGTAGCACACGAGTGAAACCAATGACAACCTGAGACGCAGAAAAGATGAGAAACGACACCATTAAAAAGTGAAAACCTTGGAACGGAGACAAACGTTCATGTTTTAAACCTGCATTCAAGTATCACCTTAGAAAAGTCGATGGAGGAAACATGTTAGCAGACAATTGCTTATTTCTGAATCCAGCAACCACAGAGCAGCACTATCTTTCACTGAGAGTTGTGTTTCTGTCCGCCTGATGAATGGATACCAATATTCACCTTACGTTTAGCTGGTGTGGGAAATATCTGGCCCTGCTCCACTGTGTTTACCAGCTAGCTGCTAACTCTGTGTGTCTGCTGTTGACTGCTGGGCAGGTAAAGTGCAGTCGTTTTTTTAAAGCTGCCAGCTGCATCTGTCGATGAAGCGAACCAGATGTTGAACCAACAGAGTAAACCCGTGGGGCCAGAAAATCTAAACAAAAGACGGACAATGCAGTGTCGAGACGAGAGGAACACTATGAACGACAGCATTCACCTACAAGTGGTCATCTGATCCATTGTTAATGTGAAAATACTGATTAAGTGTAACAAAACGCCAGGAAGTCTGTAACCACAACAGTCGAGATCGAGGACCAAGAACTATTGAGTAACGAAGAAAACACTCCTAACAGCTTCTATTTATCTTGGGGACATGATTTAATTGGCGTCCTTTGAAGAGGGCTCCAAACCTAAAAAGGTTTTCGGTTTATCCCAAAGACAATCCTTCATTTGAAGTGAAAATAGTCGTAACTAATGTGGCAAGGATTTCACATGACAACAGCGGTACGCAACAGCAGCAGCAGCCGGGAGAAGAGTACACAAACACATCAGAACACATCTATCTGAGCGGATGGAGGGGAGACAGTGAACTTCCATGGGAGTTAGTAAACAGCTGCTATTGATTTACCAGTTGTGCTGGTAGTGAACTATTAACCAAGTCTCCAGTAATCAAGACCACTGGGGCAAAACTCCAGTCCTCCTATTTCTTACAACAACAACAACAAAAAAAAACTGTGCAGAGAGATGACTCACTGGGATTTAAGTGACTGTAAACAAGGCTGCTGGTTGTTCTGGCTGTTTTTTTTTTGGGAGACGGCCTAGTTGGTTCACTTCATGTGGGTATATTAGGGCTTAATCGTGGGTTTCTAAGAGACAAAACGCACAACTTGTGAAACAAAAAGCAGCCTACAGGAGAGAGCTCAGCCTTTACCAATCACACCAGACGAGAACAGGCGCACATCTGAAAAAGAAATGCCCTGCAAGCCAGTTTAAAGTCGTACCTGTTGGTACAAGCGAAGCCGTGTATTTACATACTGATCGTGCCGCCCTATAGACTGCCAACACTGGGCGTAGATTGGCCCCCCCCGTCCCCCCCTCCCTCACACATCTATAAGCCACTGACTCCTCAATGGGATGACAAATACAACTCATAAAGGAGGGCAGAGTTGAAACCAAATGTGGCGCCGAGCTGCAAAACTTTCCTGTGTTGTGTTTAAAAAAAAAAAAGAGACGACGAAAACGACACAAATGAAACACGCTGCTCGTTCATATGTCGAGAAGCGAGAACACAGGAGGGTTTACTTCCCGGTGTCTGTCTTGACAAGCGACTTGTGGCTTTCTGGCTAGCTCACAACGCAACCGAGGCTAACTCAAATATAAGTGGCTGAATAGAGACTAACGCTATTGTCATAGATGCACACTGCGTGGCTGACACTGGCGGCCACAGTCACGTCTCCGACACGTCATGTTTGTCAAAAACAAGTTGCGCCAACTAGCCGGACAACAAGTGTGTTACCTTCCTGGCGTCGCGACAAGTTAGCTTTCGTAGCGGGCTAAATTAGCAGCTAAGCTAAAAGATCCCATTGCCACCATCTTTCACTCGGAGAGGATGCACAAGCGCCAAAGACACTCGGACGTTACCTTTAACCTTTCCAAACGTCCCCACTCCGAGTGTGTCTCCGAGAATGTAATGTCCAATTTTAACTCTTCCTTCATGTTTGGTTTTTTCCGTCGCCATCTTCCCGCAGTGGCCTTGTTGCGGGGTTAGCTATCTGCGGGCAGAGACGGACTGAGCTCTCCGCTGTGTGCGTCTCTACTCCGGCGGCTCTGCTCGGTGCGGAGGGTGGGAGGCGCCCAGGCTCCTGCGCGATTCGTCAAACGCGTAGCCGACGTAGAATGCTGCCTTCAAATGCTCCCCAGTAAACTTGTAAATCAGGGTGTGATTATTAACTTCTCATACATTAAACTTGTTTTTTTTTTTTTTTTGCCTCGAAGATATTAGGTAAATTACGCGGTTGTTTTCAAATCAAGGTAAAATAATGAATATGTGATAGTGAATGTGAAACAAAAGTGAAGACAACACTGTAGTAGTGAGAAAAGAGACATGGAACAGAATGTCTGTAGCAAACATGACCAAATGCAACAAAAGGTAACATTAATTATTTACAGAGAAAGCTAAACAGCACTATGAAAAGTGTGGATCAACTCAGCTCTGTAGTATGTGGGCCATTTCTTCTCAGTCAGATCAACCTTATCTAAGAACCAGCATGGAAAATGAGCTCATAAGTGGTAGAATACCTTGTGAGTTATAGACAGGGAGTTGCATGTCTCTTGTAGCATTTAAAACTTCTATAATTTACTTTGAATTTCATGAGAAGGTCATTCTGTGGTCACACAGTGTGGCTCAGTTTTAAATATGTGCCACGCCCAAGCATTACCAAGCACCAAAAATCTTGTTTACATAGTTTCCTAAATTCTTCCCAGGCTGGTCCCTGAATAAGTGTTTATCTATAACAGGATATGACAAGACTATTTTAAAACATGTTGAACTTTAGTGGAAATTAACTTTAACATCACTGCAATGTGCCCAAACCCCTGTAAAATCACTCTTCACTGTGTGTGCAGCTCTTCTCAAACTAATGAGCTTCATATCTGCTATCTGTATGTTTTTGTAACAAACAGAACAACCAGACCAAACCAAAGGTGTTTGTTTAGGTCTATTTAATACTGAAGGTGCTTGATCAGAGCTAGGCTATCAACACGTGTCTCAACAAGGCCCAAATGAGAAGCAACAAATTTAATTACATGTTCTATCTCCCATTTGCTCTCACTACTCCATGCATTTGCTTTATTGTTTGGTTATAAAACTATGCAAATTGAATTTTGTTTACATAGATAGTTGCTGTCCAACTTAGTGTGCAGGTGGCTTGACAGCAAAGCTGTAGCTCTGCATGTGTCTAGAATAAAGCAGGCAAACTCTGTTAAAAAATTACATTTCACACTGCACCAAATTACTAATGGCAGCAAGGAATGTCAAAAATCATCTGAATGGATCTTAATCAATAAAATCTCTTCATTGTGGGATTCTTTTGTGTTCACTGTGTTATGTAATTCATTGCTCCTACTACTCGGTTCTGCAACTTGATGATTATGTGAAGGCATTTTGGGTATAATTCATCAGTTGGACATGCATTTCGTCTTGTTACAGTATTCTATTCTGCTTTGGGCAACTATTCAAACGTTGGAAACGCAAATTAAATCGAACATTTGTCCGGATTAGCCTCCAGAGACTGAGATTTGCACTACTTTAGTATTCATGAGAACAGGATTTTAAGAAAATTTTGGTTGTTTAAGATTACATGGACAGAAAAGGCTGAATTAAATTAGGCCTAACTATTTATGAGAGGAATATGTAACTGTTTATATGATGCCATTTCATATGTAATTTACACACCTGTAATCTTCTATATGATCTATAGGAAATTGTAATGTCAAATTACTGTCTAATTTTTTAATTGAATGTCCTGCTGAGACAGAAGCAAATCTTCTCTGACGCATGAGACAGATGTGAACTCCTTAAAGGCCTCTCGTGTTCGCTTGCAGATCTTGCATATGTGACGTGTTCCTGTTTATTGCTGGCTCGGTTGATCTCCATCTCCAGGATTAGTAAGTCAGTGGCAGCTGAACCTTGCTGTGTAGTCTCAGTGGTGTTTCTTGATTTTGAACAGAGCCACTTACTGTATCTCAAGACCTGAGAATCCTCATAGACACATTGTGAATAACAATCAGCTCATCAAGGATGTGAAGAGCTGCTCAGTGACAGTAATGGATGAGCAAACACCCTCAAAGCATCTCAAATCATACCCCAAAGCACAGCAAGGCAAAACATAATGTGCCTCAAAGGATATCCTAAATAACTGTAAAAATCTTTATGCTTTTTGCAGACCAGAAGTATAACTCAAAGTACAGGCTAAACAAGTACAGGCTTCACACCAATTAATAAGGAAAGAATGGCCTGGTGAACAGTTACCATGACTCCCCAGAGAGGTCTGGTGGGAATTAACAGTTAGTACCAAAAGTCGTTGTCAGAAACACTTGGTGGACATTTGTGTGTGTGTGTGTGTGTGTGTGTGTGTGTGTATTTTCTCCACTGTCTGTACGTGCTTTGAGATTAAAACTGATTAAATTAACATTTTTATACATAGTTTGCCCATTTCAGGGCACAGGAAGTCCTGTGACTGTGCATATATTGTAGTGAGGTGTGTTTAGTTTTCACTCTTATTCGTCATGTGGAAATTTAAGGAATGAGGGACCAGTAAATGTCTGTGCAAAAAAATGTTTTCTGTCTTCACACATTTTAACAGCCCAGCTCTAATCAGAAACCTACAGATGTGCTCACCAAAAGCCTTCTCAGTGGCGACCTCTTGTGGTTGCTTGACAATCTTGCCAGAGCGATGACGTTCTAATAAGCTCTTCTTGTTCTCATTCAGGGTATCCAAGCTTTGCATATTTAAAGTGACTGTATATTATCTGCTATCCTTGTACAGGGGGTTGTTGTTGTTGTTTTTTGCATTTTCCTGTAGGAATTAGAGCAAAGCAAAGCAGACTGAGCTAAAAAAAAAAAAATCCCATAATGTATCTGAATAGTGTCTTTCACCCTTACTGCATCCTAAATGCTCACTATTTTTAAACTCCATATCTCCAGTTCCGAATGCAGGCTTTCTGTGAAGAAACTTGAGTCTTTCCCCAAACTGAGATAACCTTAATAACATCATCAGGGTTGTTTATTCAAGAGCTGGAAAATGCCCTCCAGAACCACAAAACCCAACTGTTTATATACCACTCTTTGAGAATAAATATGTCCTTATTTCTCAAAAGACATGTATAATCTGAGCCACAGATTGTGCACTCTTATCTGGGGTTCGTAAATGGTGCTCAATTATACTTGACATTTGCTGCTGCTTGTACTTAACATTATAATTGTATTGCCTGCTGATAATGATCTAAATTAAGCCCCACAGCACTACAGATTAGACTAGCAGTCCATGAAAAATATGATATCAAGGTATCACACTTTTCTATTAAAATGTAATCTTTATTATTAAATCTGGGACGTTCGTGTTACTAATGGAGATAATGTGGTTTCTTGTTTTTAATGAATCCCTTTGAGGTAGTTGTTGAGCATGCTGTCATTTCCTTATCAAATGTCAACTATCTCACTGAATGACCAGTAGATGGCAGTGTCTATGCAAGAGAGCAGATAATGAGGATGATGATGTCCTGCCCTGGGATGCACAGCAGTGGCGCATTCATTATTCCCATGTCAGTGACTGACAATTAATTACCATCATTGCATAATGATAAAGCTTTTGAGTACTGGTCTTGACTCAGCAGTAACTAGCAAGATAAATAAAAGCAAGTGAGTCTATGATTAAGGCTAATTATATATACAGTATACTAAAACGTCTAAACACATAGCTGAGCCAGACTGACTGAGACACAACATGTGATTTGAGAAAGTACATGAACTACAACACAAAACACAGTGGATAATGCCGGACCTAACACGAACCCCGGGGGTTAGTGTCATCAAAATTAGCTGGAGTTTTAATATTTCCTTACACGGCAATCTGAGCACCGTCCAGCTTGTTATTTCTGTGCCTACATAAGCTTCTGGCAGTTTATTACATGCAACAGTGATTATCATTTTAATTACAGAGGTGCTTATTATAATCCTACTGGATCCGCCTGCTAGCATGCTTATTAAAGCATTGCTCACACTATTCCACACCCTATCTCCCAGTGAAATGCAATATGAATGGCCTTACCTATAACATCAAATAAGTTCAAGCAGCTATTTACTTTTTCATGAAAACATTTTATTGCTCAAGAGTATGTATGTATACAGCTGCACATACATTAAGCAACATGGAAAAAGAGGATGGGAGAAATATGAAATGAAAGCATTATTACAATGAAACAAAGATTCCCAGTTTTATCTCCACTTGTGAACGAACTGGAAGATGAATCTTTCAGCACTGACGGCAAAAGATGTGTTACAATGTGACCCGTAGCTTGATGGACAGCTAATATTTATGACTGCAGAGTTCTTTGTAACCTTTGTCAGCTTTCAGCGTACAAGGAATAGCATTACTGCATTTATGGTTAAAGGTCCCTCTCACTGTTGTATGTCATCTCCTGCTATAAACACAATAGTGGAAATGTGTTCCAAACAAACACAGGTTGACTATTGAACTACTATTTAACCACAATTAAACAGTACACTCTGCCAATTAAACCTGTTCAACTCGTAATTTTTCACCCAAACTCAAAATCAATCAAGAGTTTAAAAAGAGATCTCCATTACAGCAATAAAACAATTCAAAACTTAACCAGGCCAGTGTAAGAAGAATTTTAATTCCTTTGGTGTCGGCAAACAATGTGCATCTTAACAACATTAAAAGATGTAATGTACCCATCAGGTATTAACAGAATAGTTTAAAACATGTTAAGTGGGTTAAAAATACTACAAGTACCAAATTCACAGTAAATTGTGTGAGATACAGGAAAATTTAAACTGGAGAGACAAACACTGAGGCACGAAATACAGAATTCACAGGACAATGAACCCAGTTAAATAGAAAGGGATGGCTGGCTGGTGAAAAAAATATGGGGGAGAAAGTAAAATCCAGGACAAAGAGAAATTAATACCACACATATGAATTGCAAGACAAGTATAGATTAACCTAAACAGTATTTTTAAAAATCACTCAATAAACAGGTTAAACGCTCGCTGTGACGTAAAAAAATAACTGTAAGAGAAGGGAAAACAAACATAGAAACTACATTTAAAAATGCACTCACTCAGAATGTTGTGGAAACACCATATTAATATAATTCAAACATCATTAAAATTATCTTACCAAATAACAAAGAACATTATTTCACGGATTTCTGGAATTAGTGAGCTGAGAGGACTGCTTGAACTGAACACTGTGCACTCCATTTCCAATCTGTGTTTTAGCTCTACAGTATCTGCATGTTGAGGCACTTGGAAAGAATATGATTGTACTGTGTGTAGTATATTATGTACATTTGTTGTGTTTGTGTGCCTGTAAATCACACTCCTTCCAAAACTAACATGTGCTTAACCTTACAGATCTAAAACTGAGTTGGATTTACTATTCCTCAAGCCACATACTGAAACTGAAAGCCCCATGGTCAACATGATCTCTTATTCTTGTCTAGTGTGAGTGAGTATTACATAGCAGTACAGTCATCTACGAAAAATGTAAATGTTTTTCAGATCGTGAGGCGGCCATGATAACCTAGTTACTGATTCCAGATCAGTATTCCGACCCAGAGGAAATGGGCTGGGCCTGTAATCTCTGGCACCTGATCTAAAGCGAGACACTGACCAAGATTAGCCTGGCGGGAATCCATCCAAGACCACTGAGGACAGTGCAAAAATGAGTTGGAAAAACTGCTTCTTTTCCTTGTGCTTCTCCAAAAGCATCCTACTCTCACATTAGAATGAATGTGTCCCAAAAAAAAAAAAGAACGAAACAAAGGAAGGAAAAACTACTTCTGGAGAATTTT